AATTAACATGATCAGATTTGTAGGCCAGAGACATGTTTGCATGATGAGAAAAGTGGTAATGTTTTGGAAAATATTAATGTGACTTTCTGACTATAAAACCTATTCAATTTATGGGAGCTTTCTGCTGAGCATTTGGATTATTACATAAGAAATACAGAAAAAGAGTTAATACTCATCTTTTGACATTCATATAGGAATTTTCCTAGCAAATTGTTAGACTTCAAAATGAGGCATCATTAATAGATGAATATTAATTTGTTTATGGTTTAATATATCAAGACCTGAAGTTAGAAAACCAAAAGGGACGATACATGCTTGGCAATTCTCAAGCTGAAAGAACTGAGGAAAACATTTAAGCCTTGAGTTGCAATATTGAAAGATTCTATGGGCAAAATATTGAATAATGCAGGAAGCATTAAAAGAAGAGGGAAGGAATACACAGAGTCACTGTACCAAAAAGAATTAGTCGATGTTTATCCATTTCAGGAGGTGGCATAAGATCAAGAACCAAAGGTATTGAAGGAAGAAGTCAAAGCTGCACTGATGGAATTGGCAAAGAACAAGGTTCCAGGAATTGACAGAATACCCACTGAGATGTTTCAAAAAACAGATGTCCCACTGGAGGCACTCCACTCGCCTATGCGAAAAGATTTGGAAACAGCTACCTGGCCAACTGACTGGAAGAGATCCATATTTTATCCATTCCAAAGAAAGGTGATTTCACAGAATGTAGAAATTATTGAACAATATCATTAATATCATATGCAAATAAAATCCTACTGAAGATAATTCAATAATGGTTGTAGCAGTGTATTAACAGACAACTTCCAGAAAGAAATGCAAGCTGGATTGAGAAGGGGACGTGGACCAAGAGATATCATAGCTAATGTCAGATGGATTTTGGCTCAAAGCAAAGAACACCAGAAAGATGTTTACTTGTGTTCTATTGACTATGCAAAGGCATTCAATTGTGTGGATCATAACAAAGTATGGATAATATTGAGAAGAATGGGAATTCCAGAACATTTGATCATACTCATGAGCAACCTGTACATAGATCAGAAGGCTGTTGTTTGAACAGAACAAGGGGGTACTGCATGGTTCAAAATCAAGAAGGGAGTGAGTCAAGGTTGTATCCTCTCATCATACTTACTCAACTTGTATGCTTAGCAAATAATGTGAGAAGATGGATTATCTGAAGAAGAACATGGCATCAGGATTGGAGGAAGACTCATTAACAATCTGTGATACACAGAGGATACAACTTTCCTTGCTGAAAGTGAAGAAGACCTGAAGCATTTACTGATGAAGATTAAAGACTACAGTCTGCAGTATGGATTGCACCTCAATATGCAGAAAACAAAAATCCTCATTACTGGACCAATAAACTGCTTCACAATAAATGGAGAAAGATTAAATTTGTCAATGACTTCATATTATGTGGTTCTATAGTCAACACTAATGGAAACAGCAGTCAAGACATCAGACGATGTATTGCATTGGGTAAATCTGCTGCAAAAGACCTCTTTCAAGTACTGAAGAGCAAAGATGTCTCCTTGAAGACTAAGGTGCACCTAACCCAAGCCATGATATTTTCAATCACCTCTTATGCAAGAGCTGGACAATGAATAAGGAAGACCAAAAAAGAGTTGATGCTTTTGAGTTATGGTGTTGGAGAAGAATGCTAAGAGTACCATGGTCTGCTGAAAGGACTAACAAATCTGTCCTGGACAAAATGCAGCCAGAATGCTCCTTGGAAGTGAGAGTGGCCAGACTTTGTCTCACTTATTTTGGTCATGTTGTCAGAAGGGACCATTCCCTGGAGAAGTATATCATGCTTGGTAAAGTGGAGGGTCAGTGAAGAAGGGGAAGGCCCTCAATGAGATGGATTGGCACGGTGGCTGCAATGATGGGCTCAAGTATAGCAAGGATCATGAGGCTGGCACAGGACCAGGCAGTGTTTCATTCTGCTGTGCATGGGGTCACTGTGAGTCAAAGATGACTCAATGGCACTAACAACAACAACAGCATATCAAGACTAGGCATGGTAGAGCAAATTGAGAGTTTCTTCCATAGTTGAAGAGAGGATATCCCAGTCTACCCTAAAGGCTAAGGCCTGACATTGACAAAAGAAAGATGGTAGTTTTGAGGTAGGTAAAGTAAACGAAAATTCTATTTTGTGGTTCAAAGAAATATGGAGAGGGGTGGAAGGGCTGGAGGAGAGCAGCCAAAAGCATTTTTACTCACTCCCATCTTGAGGATGTTAGGTGAGGAAGAGGTTTTGGTTTAGAACATCCAAGAACAGAAGAATTTATGCCCCAGTGTTTTAGTTACC